GTGATAGAGAAGATCGTGAGAAACAGGCTGGTTGCCCATGTGGAGAGAAGGGGCTTTCTTTCTCCGCAGCTTCCTCTCTCGTCGTTCCTTTCGGGTGAGGCTTGGTACCGCTCTCTCTGCCTCTTTTCAGCAGTATGAAGGTGTGCCCCAGGGTAGTGTTCTGAGCACTAGTCTTTTTCTGGTTGCCCTCAATGGTTTTCTTTCCTCTCTTCCTTCTGGCGTCTTCTCCACTCTCTATGTCGACGATCTAATCCTGCCAAACACACACCGAAACTACGACGTTGGTACAATGTTCAAACAAGTTTTAACACTTCCTAACCAGTTATAACAATCAATATAGCAAGTTGTAACAACGTTCTAATACGTCATAAACACGTTAAGCCAAGATGTAACGACTTTATTACAAGTTGTAACAAGCAGAAAATAGAGACAGTTTCGGTTTGTGTTTCCAGGGCTTACCATTTGCTGTCGGGGTGATGATTCAGCTCTCCTTCAACGCCGACTTCAATTTGTGATTGATGCTGTGTTGTCTTGGGCCACCGATCATGGTTTCAGGTTCTCTACGTGTAAGACATGTGCTATGACTTTTACTTGGAAGCATGTCCTTCTTCGTCCTTCTTTGTTGCTTTATGGTCACCCCATTGTGTACAAGGATTCCGCTAAGCTTTTGGGGTTGATTTTTGACACTCGTATGTCTTGGTCGCCCCATATCTCTTACCTCTGAGTTGAATGTTCTAAGACTCTTACCCTCCTTCAGGTGTTGTCCCAAAATTCTTGGGGTGCGGATAGGCACACACTCCTCGCTTTACATTCCTCTCTCATCCTGTCTAAACTCGATTATGGTTTCCCTGCTTACTGGTCTGCTTCTCCTACTCTTCGCCGTCTTGATGCTTTGCACCATAGTGGGTTGCGCCTCAGTTCTGGTGCCTTTTGTTCAACTCCCGTCCTCGGCTTGTATGTTGACACTGGCTTCCTATCTCTCCAGGACCGCCGTGATGGCTACTGTCTTCGCTATCTTGCGTGGTCCTTACAACATCCTTCCTCTCGCCTCTGTCGTGCTTTAACTTTTACCCCTCCTGCGGCTCCTGTTCCTCTTCACCACCTCCCTCTTTCTGTCTGGTTATCTCGCTTACAGGATTCTCTTACAGTTTGTATTTCTAATATTTCTCCTCGTGTCGTTCCTTCTTTGCCCCCGTGGAGAGTCCCCCTTCTGTAGTTTTGTACATCCTTAACCTGCATCACTAAAGCTTTTACCCCTCCTATGGTTCTGAAACGCCTTTTCCTTGAGCACTTTTCTTCACACTCCCGCTCCGTTTCCATCTTCACCAATGGGTCTAAGTCTGCGGATGGTGTAGACTACTCTGTTGTTTTTCCTGACAGAGTTTATATGTGTCGCTTACCTCCGGAGACTAGCATCTCACAGCGGATCTTTATGCTATTCTCTATGCTCTTCGTTTCCTGCCTTCTCGTTGTCAATCTTCCTTTGAAGTTTTAGTTAACTCTCGTAGTGCCCTCATGGCTCTCGGGTCCTTTAATCCTGTTCATCCAGTGGTTGTCGAGATACAGCATTGGCTGTTTCTTATTCACAGTAAATTTAAGTCGATTGAGTTTTGCTGGGTTCCCAGCCATATTGGTGTCTCTTTAAATGAGCATGGGGATGCTGCCGCTAGGGAAGCTGTCTGCTCTTGTCCCATCTCTCGTAAAATTACAGTGGCACCTTGACTTACGATTGCCCCGACTTACGATAATTTTGAGTTATGATGTAAATTTGATAAAAAAATGTGACTCGACTTACAATAGTGTTGTTGACTAACGATATTTGTTGGTACACGTTTGGGTTGACCGAGCGCGTGGTTCCTGGTCACACGGGCCAACCTCCCACAGTTTACTAGAGCTGCCCGCTTAGTGATGATCACGCCTATAAGAAATTCCGTTTTTGTGGTGATTTTTTGCATTTTGAACTTAAAACTGATTATTATATATAATGCCATGGGTCCCAAAAAAGTCAGTGGTAAGGTTCAACATATGAAAAGACATGTAAGAATGACCATAGAAGAAAAACAAGAGGTCATATGTAAGCATGAAAATGGTACTAGTGTTGTTGAACTAGCTTGGCAGTACAATAAATCTTCAGAGAAGGCGGCGGCGGCATTAGAGGATGTTCCTTCCTAAGTATTAAGAAAATGTGTGCAGTATGGGAAGGACTGTAAAGTTTTGCTGAAAAGAATCGCCCAGATAAAGCTGTAACAGGCCGTTGCATTGATCATTTTAATGACAATGTGATGTCTCACTACAGACAAGTGTTGGAAAGAAGGGAAAACAATCTTCAATGGAACGATTTCTAGTGAGAAAATCCAGCAGTGAGCCAGAAGCAGGTCCTAGTGGTATGCAGGCAAAACGTGGCAGAGTGTGTACCCCCAGAGAAGTCATCACTGCCTGATGTTATAATGGAAGGGGACGCCCCTTCCAAACAGTAACACCTCTCCTCTTCCCCCCCTCCTCACCATCTTCCATATGCCATCAAGAGTCCTCCATAAAGGTAAGATAAACATATGTATTGTATTGTAATTAGAGAAAAAAATTGTATTCAGTATAAAATGTATTTGTAAGTTAATATTTTGGAGGGTGGGGTATGGATTAATTCAATTCCCTTTATTTCTTATCGTAAAAATCGCTTCGACTTACGATCCCTCTCTGGGAACGGATTACCATCGTAAATCGAGGCCCCACTGTATTCCTTATTCTGACTTTTACCCAGTTATTCATTTCTCCACCCTTACCCATTGTTGGTCTTCTGCTACTGGTAACAAACTGCGTACTCTTAAGAGTTGCGTGTCCTCATGGCTGTCCTCCTATCACCATAACCGGCGATGGGAAACGACTCTGGCGAGGTTACGTATTGGCCATACTCGCTTAACTCTGGTCACTTAATGGAGCGCCACCCTGCTCCTTATTGTCCAAATTGCATTGTTCCTCTTACGGTCGTGCATATCCTTGTTGGATGTCCTGACTTCCGGGACGAGCGTGTGTCACGTTTTCCAACCCTCGCCCGCGGTCGCTTGTCCCTCGATAGATTTCTTGGTGAATCGTATACTTTTGATATCGTTCGCCATATGCGTTTCTGTTCTCGTATTGGCATCCTTGGTGATATTTAGCGCCCTCTGATTTTTCCGCACATTTGATGGTGTTACATAGCCTTCCCGATTAGGTGCTTTCTTTTGATAATTACTTTGCTATGAATAACTTTCAACACTGCCAGGTGCAATAAATAAAAAAAATTCAAAAAATAATTTTGTCTTATAGAAGTGTTCATTTGTGTTCCCTTATCACTGGAAAAAATAATACAAAAATCATAGGTGACATATTTTGGCCGCAATAGGGCGGGGAAGTCTGGCAAAGTTGAGGCGTTGACAGAGCAGTCGTCAGAGGCGGTCAATGCAAAAACTACCACTTACCCCAAGGCAAACAAGGAAGGAATCCCCCAAACACTCGGGGCAGTCAATTGCCAAGCAGCGAAAGACCAACAGAGGTAGACCCAAGGTGACTTGTGGAAGGCAACCCCAAGCCCCGAGGGCAGTACTTACAGGGCACTTAGGGAAGTTAGCCCTAAGCGCATGCAGCCCAAGTACCCTGGAATATTTCTCCCAGCTTGCACACCACTGAAGAGAAGTACAGAACCCAGGCACAGCACAAGGAGAATCTGGAGCTGGAGCCACAATGACTAAGCCTTATCCCATCAGCCGAGGAACTGGAGGTGTGGATTGCCGGCATGGGAACCTAGGGCTATCCCTTCCCCATCCCGGGGAGAGGGGAGCTGCACAGACATGCGGCGCCGCTTGTGTGACATCATGCTTGTTTGCTCATTTTCCCTCGGAGGAGTTCTGTCCACTTGTTTCGTTGGTTTCACCAGAATAGGGGTTTGTCTTGAGGCACTTATCTTTCTGGGTGCCTGTCCCAGTCGATGGCAGATATAGAATGCTCCAAAATCACATGTGCATTTCTATAAGCAATTGCTCCTCGTGCCTTTCTGAAGGGGCCAGGTTCTGGCCGTGGTCCCCGATAGGCCTAGAACTCCACTTACATCGACTGATGCCAAAAGTTAGGACTATCCCTATCAGCCTAGATAGCTCTGGGAAGCTTCCGGAACTCGCCCAAAAAATGGCGTTTCATTACAATCAGCGCTGGTTTTTTGCTTATCTGTGGGTAGTTAGCTTCAGGGAGCCAACAAAGCTCTCTTCAGAAAACCAGCATTGAATGTATTGAAATGGCATTTTCTGCGTGAGCCCCAGAAGCTCCGTGACACCCTCACTCCGGTCAGCGGTTTTCCATCATTCTACGAACTGAGGGTGGTGCGACTTGCTCTCCTGAGCAGGGGAGGGTGAGCGTGCGGGCTAGTTGGAAGATGTGTTGCTTGTTTCCTCGTTTGCTATTGGGGGGAGTTCTGTGGTTCTGTTTGGACATAGGTTGCAGTTTTAACCAGTAAGAGGTTTGTAATGGTTCACTAACCTTTCTGGAGGTATCCCTGGTTGATGGCAGACATGACAAATTCTAAATATAGAGCTCATATGGCCATTGCTCCCTTTTCCTCTGAGGGGGGCCAGGTTCTCGCTTGTGGCCCCCCGGTAGGTACTCAAACTCCAAGGACTGATGGCACCAAACTAATATGGCACATGTCAGTTTGATAGCTTCAGGGAGCCTACGGGGCTTACCCAGAAAATGGCATTTCATTACATTCAAAGTTGGTTTTATGCACCATAATGAACCACTAAGCAGTTCTGGTGGGTGTGGTAATCTCAAAATCGAAAGACAACATAGTGCCACACACACACTAGTCAATTGCAGACAGCACATGACACAGCAAAATGACTTCATTATGGTATTCACATTGATAACTAATACAGCACTTGGATTAAGTAAATTTAAATTGTATACCTGTATTGTTTTTGTATTACAGTATAAAATTTTATACCCTAATGTGAAATGCATTTTTTATATTCTAGATTATCAGAAGAGTAAGCAGCTATCACGCCTTTTAATGCTAAACGAGTGCCTTAAAGTGGAAGCTCCTGGATTAACTGCAGTAATACCAAACATTTCTAAAAATAATTTGCCCATAAGGACTCTGACAGATGAGACTCACCATAGGCCATCTCTTGCCATGTTAATGAAAGGTGCCGTATTTATTAATCAAATAGTTGGTGTACCTGTTCTGAAACTGAAGTTTCCTATTATACACATAAACTATGCAAGTCTGGTATATGATAATAGTGAAATGAAATATCAAGATTGCCTCGTATTACCAGACACCACTAACCGAGACCATGTATTACACCAACTTAATGCAATTAAGGAATATTCCATTAAACGACCTATAGCTATTGAACTCCTGGATCCCCATTCCACTTTGTCTACCTCACAGCCTGTTGGGATAGTGAAAATGAAAATACGACTACTGACTCAGTGTGGCTGGGAAGTGAAGAAAATTAATTCAGCAGATGTAGAAAACTGTCAAGGTGATGTCCAAGCACTTGCAGCCTTGATACTGGATGAGTTGACTAAGGAAGCTGTGTAATTGACTTGAAGAAATTTAGATAAAGCTACATTTATCTTAGCTTAAACTTAATCAATAGGCTGAAGAATTAGAACAGAAGTGATCACTGACATTCTTATGCAGTTTATTTGAGTGCAGAGTTTTATATTAAGTGTTACAATTCAGATAGTCAGAAGGCGACTGAGGGCCTTCTTCATCTCCCACTCCCCACTGACATCTTCCGCTCCCCACTGACATCTTCCGCTCCCCAATGACATCTCCCACTCCCCACTGACATCTTCCGCTCCCCACTGACATCTTCCGCTCCCCACTGACATCTTCCGCTCCCCACTGACATCTTCTGCGAACTCATCAGACTGTGTTGAATATAACTCCTTCTCTTTCAATGGTAAATACTTCTCTCAAACTTTCGGTGTTGCTAAACTAGGTATGGTTTACCTAGTTTACTCCCCCCCCCCCCCTCTGTTCTTGCCAATCTCTGGAATACTTCGAAACCGTATTTCTGCCTTCTGTGTACACCATACAGAACTTATCCCTCTCACTGGGACAAGTGAGAGGGACTTCCCTTCACTATGTTGATGACATTTTTGCTTTATGGCTTCATGACCTTAATCTTTTCCAGCCTTTCCTCGCCTCTCTTAACAATCTGGCTCCTTCCATCCATTTCAAAGTTGAATGGGAATCTAATTCCCTCCTTCCTTTTCTTGACGTTCAGGGTCACAGCTGTGTCGGGGTTCTTTTTCTCTGTCTGCCGCAAACCCATGCATAGTGGCATGTACATTCACTTCTTTTCCTACCATCCTACTTCTTTTAAGAAAAGTGTCCTCGTCTCTCTCTTCCTCCGCGCTCTACGCATCAGCGACCCTCAGTTTCTTGATTCTGAAATTTCCTTTATTTACAAATCTTTCTCTCACCTTAGTTACCCCTCACATTTTTTTCAACTGTGCATATTCTAAAGCTAAACTAAATTCCTTTCATTCTATACCTGCTTCCAACACAACTAGCACTGTGCTTTGCCTTCCCTTCATATCTGAACTCAAAAATCTTACTAATACCGTATTCTTGGTGAATCGGATACTTTTGATATCGTTCACCTTATGCGTTTCTGTTCTCGTATTGGCGTTCTTGGTGATATTTAGCGCCCTCTGATTATTTCGCACTTTGATGGTGCTACATAGCCGTCCCAGTTTGGTGCCTTCTTTTGATAATTACCTTGCCTTACTAATACCCTTTATGCTCTTAAATCTCGCCTTTCGACAAACTAACACTCTTCGTACTAATTTGGTTCACACTTCTGCTTCTAATTCTGCCAGTGTCTACCCTATTTCTTGTTCGTCTTATTTTCCCCAATACTTTGAGGAAACTGGCCGTACACTAAATGACAGACTTAAGGAACACAAAAAGAAGTGTTAAGTCTGCAGACACAAACAATGCTCTCTTCTGTCATGTTAGGGATTCTGATCATTCTATTGATTGGTCTTCTTCTGAAATAATCTTTCCTGCCTCTACTCTTCACAGACGCTATCTTATTGAATCGGCTTTGATATACAACCTACCCAACATGAACCTTAGTCCTGGTTTTGTTGCTGCCAGTTGCTGCTAGTTGACTCTTCCCTTTCACAGTACATACCTAAATGTTCTAAACTTTCTAAAACGTGACCTAACATAAGCCTACCCATCCTTTTTCTCTTTGTTTTCTTTCTTTCTCTTTTTTCTTACATTCCCATTCTTACTCCTATTTTTACCCCCTTACACCCTTTATTTCACCTATCCCTTCCGTACTTTTTGCCGTGCAAAAAGTACGGAAGGGATAGGTGAAATTTCCGTACCTTTTCCGGGATAGGTGAACTTTTTTCCGTACCTTTCTCTAAAGTTTCCTCCTCCTCACCTCTCTCGTGCCTTACTTATATTCTAAACTTTTCTAAACTACCCATCTTCTCCTTCCCTCTTCTCATCACAGTTGACTTGATAATGGTCCAGGATGGACCGACACGTCGTCGTCTTTTCATCTTCCAGTGTGTGGTTAGGTCAACATTCTTCAGCCACGTTATTGTGACTCATCGTGTGCAATCCAGATAATTATAAATTAATCACTATGAAATAGAATTTTTCAGTGCCATATAATAAATAAAAACTACACATACTGACTTTTGCAGTTAAAATATGACAGGGTTTAGAATGTATAGACGTTTGATAAATCTGTTTGAAATGTTATGTAATTTCGGGGCCATATTACGAAAATATGCAATAAATGAAAACTGGTTCGATTTCAATCAAACTTTTTTTACTAGTTGTATATGAAATTGGGTTCAACTGGTCAAAGTCTCAGCATCATAGCATAAATAGGAAGGGAAAAAAAATATTAAATTATGTGTCAAAAAATTTCCAAAATGGTAAAAAATTAACATCAAACACAAGTGTCAACTGAAATCATGTCTATGACTCCAAGCTATCACAATAGCATACAGTATAATAAAGTATTTTAATATTTAGTTTTATGCAAAAAAATTAATTAAAAAAAATATTTAGGTCTTTTCTTGAATTTTTTCTCAAATTTTTATCGCCGATTTGCATGAAACTTGTACACCTTACAGAACGTAAGCCTATCTGTAAGGGTGCAAATTTTGGAGGAAATTGGTTGATGTCAACCTCAACCACAGGTGGCAGAATCTTTGACTATATTTATTGTCAAGTAACATAAAATTGACACTCCTCTTTCATTTTTATTCAATTTACATGAAATTTACACCTTATATGTAGAGTGAACGTCTCAATAATCTCTATAAAACACTTTATTCCTAAGTTCATTTATTAATTTTATAAATATTTGCAAACATGATATATTGGAAGTAATTTTGGGGGAACTTTGACTATTTGTATTAGTAAAACTAAACATATTTTGGATAATCCCCCCTTATATAAATCCTTTAATATATGCTAATGTGATAGATGAGTGTCAGAAATGATTTCATTTGAAACTTGTGGTTGTAATGAATTATAGAAAATGTGTAAAATTCACAGAAAAACAAATCCTCCCTTTCTATTTAGGGTGCAATACTGAAATGTAGAGCAATTGCAGTCCTTTTAATATACAACTAGTAAAAAAAGTTTGAAATTGAACAACTTTTAATTTACTGTAATCCGGCTCCTTAAGAGATGTATAAAATTATATTAAATAATACTGATGCTACTTCATTTTCATAAGTAAATCCTTGTAAGGAATTTTCTGGCGGAGCCTCTGGTAGCTCTCTAAAGCTATCTCACTTATGTTAAGGTACAGGGCAGAATGCTGAACACAAGGTGGGATGAACAAGGGGAACACATCTGGGAGGTGAAATCCTGCAAGAGTCAAATAGAGAGAAAGATCTGGGGTTTGATACCACACCGAACCTGTCCCCAGAAGCCCACATCAAAAGGATATCATTAGCGGCATATGCTACATTGGCCAACATAAGAACTGCCTTTAGAAACTTGTGTAAGGAATTGTTCAGGACTTTGTATACCACCTGTGTCAGACCAATCTTGGTGTGTGCAGCTCCAGCCTGGAGTCCATACCTAGTTTAGCACAAGACAAAGAGAAGATTCAGAGGTATGCCACCAGACTAGTCCCAGAACTTAAGAGGTATGAGCTACGAGGAAAGGCTAAGGGAGCTAAACCTCGTCCCTGGAAACCAGAACAATAAGGAGAGACATAATAACCACCTACAAAATTCTCAGGGGAATTAGCAGGGTAGACAAAGACAAACTCTTTAGCCCTTTAACAGCGCAACACGCCTGCAGGCCCATGTCTGGGGTGCGCTACACACCTCCGGGTATTTGTATTCCTCACGTTCCATTCAAAACTCCTGCGGCTACATGGGGTTCACATCAGCTTCCTCAGGGCTCTTGTAAACAGACGCCATCTTTAAAAAAATCGTGGTCCACATTCCCGGGTGAGAGAGCCTCAGTAGTGAGTGAGCAACCAAGGCTGGCGTTCGCAGCATGATCGCACAGCACTACTGTTCAGGTGTGACCACAGCATCGCCTAATAATGTCAAAATATACTGTTATAACCTGTATTATTTAGCCATGATAGTATTATAGAAGAGCCTGAGTGTGATAATGACTGGGTACAATGTTCAAATATCAGTGATTCAATGCTGTTCACGATGTTCACAGCGCTAGCCACAGCACCACAGCATTATTTCGTCCATCTAGGAATCTTCAAACGACTTCTTAGGTTCCTTTTCAAAATAAACTTCTGGTCAATTATTCATTTACAGGAATTAGTGACCAGGATTATGGCTATAATTAGCATTGTGCGTAGTATTGTGGAAGGAAGAATTTTGGTGAGGAAGGGAGAGAATTGAGGTAGCTTCACTGTGCGTGGCAGCCACTCTTGTTTTCCTCACCATACTAGCTTCATGGTTCGCTATGGGGAACACATATGTACATGGGGTATATACAGTGTGTGTGTGTATAGTGTAATAACAGCATCAGGAGTATGTTGAGAGGAGCTATTTTGGTGAGAGAGGTGAAGTTGTAATCGTAGCGTCATATGCTGTGTGATTTCTCGTGCAGTGTATGGTGGCCACTGTACTCTTTGGACACAATACTGGCTTACTTGCATAGTTCTGGTAAATAAAACATGTAGATAGGTATATATAACATGTATAAATAGTGTAATAAAAACAATAACAGTATGGTGGGAGGAGCAATGTTGGCGAGTAAGATGTTGGAGGAGTGGATGGATTGTAAGAGATGTTGGATTGGACAAACCAATAATCCTGTCCAATAACGATGGTCTGCTTTCAGCCTCTGATACTGCTATTGAATTCAATAGGTTCTTCTCATCCATTGGGTCATCCCTTGCTAATGATATTCCATCTTCCAGTATTGATGTTCAGGACTATCTTACAGGTAACTACCCACAGTCTCTGTACCTAACGCCCGCTAATTCCACTGATGTAAATGAGGTAATCCTTTCCCTTAAGACCAAGTCTAGTTCCCTTGCGGAGATACCAACTCTAATCTACAAAAAAGCCTCCAGATCTTTAGCCCCTGCCGTTGCATTGCTCTACAAGAACTCTCTTGAACTCTAGACTTTTCCAGATATTCTAAAAAAAGCGAGAGTAACCCCAATCCATAAATGTGGTGATCTCACAGATGTCAACAACTTCAGACCTATATCAATTCTACCAAACTTGTTAAAAATATTTGAAAACTAATCTACAAGCAGCTTTACTCTTATCTAGCCAAACACAATATACTAAGCTCTTGTCAATATGGCTTCAGACCCAAAAAAAAGCACTAACGATGCACTTATTAGTATGATTAACTTGATACATGCAGCTCTTGATAAAAATGAGTTCCATGTTGGGTTATTTGTGGACCTACATAAGGCTTTTGACACTCAACCACCAAAACCTTTTTAAATTACATCATTATGGAGTCAGAGGTCACTCCCTGCAATAACTTCAGTCCTACCTTACTGACAGGCTCCAGTATGTTTCTGTGAATAATTCCATTTCTCCGACACTACCTATAAACATTGGTATTCCACAGGGCAGCATACTTGGCCCTCTCCTCTTTCTCATCTACATTAATGACCTTCCAAATGCCTCTCAACACCTCAAACCAATCTTATTTGCTGATGATACAACTTTCATTTTCTCCAGTCCTGACCCTCTTGCTCTAAATGTCAGTGAATACTGAACTAATTAAAGTCCATCTTTGGCTAACTGCCAACAAACTCACCCTTAACATTGACAAAACTTTCTATATTTTGTTTGGTAATAAATCCTTAAATGAAATTAATCTAAGAATAAACAATATACAAATCAGTAGTAAAGTTGATGGTAAATTCCTTGGTGTCCTCATCGATAACAAGATGAATTTCCAGGGACATATATTTTGCTAAATATAGCAAAAAAAAGTTTCTAAAACTGTTGGCGTTCTTTCTAAGATCAGATATTATGTTCCTCGGCCTGCCCTAGTGACGCTCTATTACTCTCTCATCTATCCTTATCTCAACTATGGTATTTGTGCTTGGGGTTCTACTACCCAAAATCATTTACGTCCTCTAATTACCCAACACAAAGCTGCTATTAGAACAATATCTAACTCTGGCCCCAGACAGCACTCGGTACCCTTACTTAAATCTCTGAACATGTTAGATATTAAGTCACTGCACATCCTCTCTTGTGTACTCTATATATTTAATCCTCTGAATTGTAATGTCAGTCCTGACCTTCAACGCTTCCTAGAAGGTTGTAACAGAACTCATGTGCACCACACCAGAAACAAATACCTATTTGATATTCCAAGAGTTAGACTTAATCAAACTAGGAATGTTCTACAAATTAAGGGACGCATTATGTGGAATGACCTTCCCAATTATGTCAAAGATTGTACCTCTCTCAACCAGTTTAAGATGAAAACTAAGCACTACCTAATTAACTCCATGTAACCTACCTTACTTCTAAATGTCAACCCATGTCTTACTATTAAAAAAAAAATGCTGTTGACCAACTTGTATATTGGTTATTTTCTACCATGTTCCTCCCTTTTTTTTATCTTTTATTGTTTTTTTTTCATTCAATACAATTTATACTTTAAGCTCAATTACTATTAAATTTTAGTCTAAGTGTTTTTTCCCCCACCTCTCCTTGCCCGAAACGTTATGCGTACTAGTGGCTCTAGGTATTGTATGTACTACCTCTATCTTTAAATCTAAAAGAATGTTTGTACTGTAACGCTGCAACTATGTATGTACTGTTCCTAAATAAATTATTATTATTATTAAGTTCTACTGAATTATTGTGATTTGTGTGTGTAATGATGTAGGGGCGAAGAGCGAGAACGGCCTAGTGACATAGCTCGAGTGCATGGGGGAGTTGTGTAAAACCCTGGTTTGTGTCTTGGAGAGGCTGCAGGATCCAGTAAGTTCAGTAGAACTTCGGTTTCAACTCTTTTACCATGTCGTAGCTCAGTTGATTAAGGCATCATCTGGGATGTTCTCGGACACAGGTTCGAATCCTCGTCACGGCCCTTGTGGATTTGTTCATTTGATGCATCACATTATTGTCATTTCTGTGTGTAATTGTATATTTGCTATTTTCTGCCATGTTCCCTTCCCCCCCTTTTATTTTTTTAAACACAATTTATACTTTAATCTCAATTAGTATTAGTCTAAGTGTTTTTTTGCCCAAAAACGCTTTGCGTAATAGTGGCTTTAGGCTTTGTATGTACTAGCTCTATCTATAAATCCATCAATGTTTGTATCTCACCTTGTATGTATATACTTTACCTGAATAAACATTTGATTTGATTTGATGATGTTTATTTACAAGAGATTATGTTTATTTACATAATTAAGAAAGTCTCTAAAACAGTTGGTATACTCTTTAAAATTAGATATTATGTACCTAACTCCGCTCTCATTTTACTATATTATACTCTAATCTATCCCTATCTTAATTATGGTATCTGTGCATGGGGGTCAACCACTGCAACCTACCTCAAGTCTATTATCACCCCAGCAAAAATCTGCTATTAGAATAATAACAAATTCTGCTTTCAGACAACACTCAGCCCCCTTGTTTAAATCCCTAAACATGCTAAACATAAACTCACTCTACACATTCTCTTGTGTCAATTACATTTACAAAACCCTATTCTTAAATGCAAACCCTGCTCTGAAACTCTCCCTGGACAGATGTAATAGGACCCATTATCACAACACCAGAAATAAATATATCTTTGATATCCCCAGAGTCAAACTTAATCTGTGTAAACACACTATGCAAATAAAGGGACCTAGTCTATGGAACTCACTTCCTAATGAATTGAAAAGCTGTCCAACTTTTGCGTTATTAAAAAACAAAACTAGAATCGGCTGAGAAGGGCCGATTCTTTAGAAACTAGAAGGGCCGAGAATCAGTGGTTCAAAAAGTTGTGCCTAGTCCTTGAGACTCAAAATACGATCATACAGTCTTCAAACTGAGAATCAAGCGAACCGTGCAAACCTTCATCAACAACAACAAGAAATAACCCTTCTCTGCGAGGACATTAGAAACTTTAAGGCATGCCAAGATCAACTCCAGCATGACTAGAATGATCTCCGTAAGGATAACATACGTCTGAAAACTGATGAAGCCATAAAAAAACAAGAGGAAGCTCTAAACAAAATGACTGTACGTATCAGTACATTATCCGCCCAACATTTCATCTCCCAGGATGAACAAGATCAGCAAAAGTTGCTCAATTCAATTTCTTTATTATGCACCCCATACCCATCCCGTGGGCAGTGGTGTAAAAGATTACAGAGGCACATAATCGGTTCAGGAACTGAACCCTCTAGTTCGTTTAGCTAAGCAAATAAAAAATTTTTGACGCTAGTTACAAAAGTATTAATGTTATATATACATGTACATATTTATATATACGTATACATTGTGATGGGAAAATGTAGGTGTAAGGCAGTCCTCCCAATGTCTGGTGTCAATGCCAATCACATTAGTAAAAAAAAAAAAAGAGAAAAAAAAGTTGACTGCTTGGCTGTTGCCTCCTGTGGTCAAGTAAAAAGGGAAAAACATGCAAAACAAATCGTATAAACAATGAAACTTTAATTGACTTTAAACAAATATAAACAAAGATAATCCCTTGGCTATGTACAGTGCGAATTAAACAAAAATACAAAGACAAAAAACAATATAAAATAAAATACTGGTTACATTACAATGAATAAGACAAAAAATGAGTAAAGGTGCTAAGAATATTGGCTGGCTGAAAACCTCCACTATTACACAGAGCGTATACTAGACAGATGTATCAGCGTTGAGAGCACAGAATATTCTAAAGCCAACTGCTCGTGCACGCTTAGTCATAGGCTATGCAGATGGCGCTGAAGTCGAGTGGAGTCGCTGATTCACCAATGGGAAGCGTGCTGGCTGGAAGTGGTAGTTTGGTGATCGACGAGGGTGGTGCGCCGACAGCGAGGGGGTTTGGAGAGCGAGTGTAGGGTACATATACCCCCCTGTAGAAACGTATTCTACTATATATATATATACTACTCTTGAATGTAGTATTTTGATGTTATAGACGTACTGAAGTAACATGATGTAGGAAAGAGCAGGTCAAATCTCTCTTGAAAGAGATTATCGTCACAACATATATACCAATAAAAGGGTCCCCTCGCTCGAGACGTTGGGTACTACAGTTCTATGGGTGCAAGAGTATGCCTCCTCAAACAACCGGGCGTCAAAATAAAAGAAGGCCGAAAAAATAATCAAATCAGGCAAGAGGTCGGCAGGAAATGACAATTAGAAAGGAGAAAAGGGGGGGGGGGAGAAAAACGAAACATAAGGAAAATTTAGTTGTCCAGCATAATTTGTGAGGACAGCAGCAGGAGCATAAGACCACAAAAGGCCAGAGGACTGTCCCTTGGAGCATCACACCCCGGCAGCCTCCCACCAAGCCCCCTCACGGCAACAATGGGCCGGACAGGGAGGGGGAACATCCTGGCCGATGGTCTCGCTTGATTCCTCTTTCCACAGAGTAGACTGTCAATGCTGGTTCCTTATTTTGGTATTGCTGGATGTACAGGGGCGCAGAAGTCGACCTCTTCACCTTGGCATGATCTCTATATTTGTTTCTTTACATGGCACAACTCCCCAACAGCGGGGCCCTTGCAGTGGATGCGTTTCAGCTAGACTGGTCAAGGTAGGGGTGCATTTATCTCTTTTCCCCAGTCCACCTGTTGCTCTGGGTTCCAGCGTATCTAGTCTCTCACAGGGGAAGAGTGATTCTTCTGGCTCCTTAGTGGCTGGGCCAGTCTTGGTTTCAGGTGCTGCTTGCACTGTGTCTGAACCTGGGTGTCTTTCCACAGCTCCACCTCCTTCTGAGGGTCGGGCTAGTGATGTTCCTTGCTGGTTCGGCCTTCTCTTCTGCTCTTCACGTCTGGTGTGTTGATGCTTTTGGATCACCATCTGTGGTGATCAGGTGGCTTGTTAAGGGTGTCCGACCTGCAGTTCTTCTGCGATAGTATGGACTCTTATTTTTTTTTCCACTTTCGATACCTTCGTCGTTGTTTTTCAGTTCCAGCAGGTTGTTTTGTCCCTTTTGGCTGTTTCTCGGTTGGCACCTTTTATAGAATGCTGTCGTCTCTTCTCGTGTGGCATTGGCGGAGCCGCCACTCCTTGCGTTTCGGGTTACAGAGTCCTTGGCCCCGTTTCGCAAGATTCTTGCAATTTCACCTTTAGCCTGCTCATGCGCCATCTGAGCCTGCATGGTCTCTGACCGGGTTCTTTTTCTCTCTCTTATGCTTTTTTGGCCTCTGGTTTTCAGATGGGCGTGCTTTATGCTCTCCGTCGATGGGGTTTTGATTCCCAGCCAGCTCCTTTTCTGGTCAAAACTTTTTTGGCTGGTTTCAAGAGAGGTCCTTTGGTTGTGGATGATTGTTTGGATCAGCTGAGAGTTCGTAGCATGCTTTGTTTGGTGGTGGTTTTATGCCACTACCTTAGTGCCACCGGTTCTGCTTTGGTAGGAGCTTTTTGGGTTATTCTAGTTTCCCTTGTTCACTGTTCCTCGTGTGTGTTAGGTCATCCAGTGTTGTTCAGTCCACCCTCGTAACTATGCTATTTGTGTGCTATTCTGATTGTTTTCGCTCATGTCTTGGGCCGGTATTCAGACGTGAGGCTTTCCATGGACGAAATAAATAGTCTTTGCAGCCTGGTATCTTGTCACCTTCCCTGGTTTCTCAGCAGCCTTGTGATGCTTTGGGGATGTGCCATTTTTTTCCTCTGTGGAGTAGTTAGCTTCAGGGAGCTGATGGGACTTTCCCCAGTAAACCAGCATTGAATATAATGAATCATCAGTTTCTGGGCGAGGCCTGGAGGCTCGCCGACACCCTCTGTCCCTAAGGTCGGCGACTTTTCATCATTCCAAAACGGCTTCCCCCTTCCCCCAGAGAGGGGGGGGGGGAGGTGGAACTAGCAGGGGACTGGTTTGACAAAGTTTTGGTTGTTTATTTTCTAATTGGGGAAGTTCTTTTGACATTTTGAGGGTGCTAGTCTCCATTTTCTACTATGCAGTACAGTAGTCTGTTTTGATACCTCCTCTTTTCTGGGTGCTTCCCTGGTTAATGGAAAGTCAATAAACTTTAAATGTAAAGTATTCATGGGCCATTGCTCCGTGTCTGAGGGGGCCAGGTGCTCGTGGTCTCTGGCAGGCAACAAGAACTCTGCAACTGATGACTCCAAGTAGTATTGGCACTTAATAAGATAGCTTCAGGGAGTCTCCAGGGCTCACTCATTAAGTGCGGTTCATTACATTCAACGTTGGCTTTTTAATTCCATAAATGGATATACCAGTTGTTTTTCTTGCAATATAATCAAAATGGTAAGTTTAAAAATTTACTTATTTTTAAATTCATTTTGAGTTTTGGATTGAAAAATGGCATCAACCAAAGTGGTAATCACTGTATTTTGGCCAAGAATAATTTTGTTGTTGCACCCGATCTTACTGCTAGAACAGAATCCTTCCCATCATCCAATTTTTCATTTGACTTGGTAATGCTGACACAGATTTCCAGTGTAAAGTACAGTATTAGCAATAGAATAAATGTTAAGGTAGCATGGGCATGATACTGTACTGTTTTAACTAGTGTACGAGTTGGGGTAAAGTGAGAGTTGGTGTTGGGAAAGGGTGATGGAAGCAAAATAAATACCGTGCAAGAGTTACAACACTGAAAAGTGTGTGGAGACAGGCTAGGTTATCTGGAGATGATTTCGGGGCTTTAGTGTCCCCGCGGCCTGGTCCTCAACCAGGCCTCCACCCCCAGGAAGCAGCCTGTGACAGCTGACTAACACCCAGGTACCTATTTTACTGCTAGGTAACAGAATACTGTCAGGCAGGCAACAGGCAGTCAGAATACTGTCAGGAGATTCATAATAAGGTATGCAGAAATAAATACTACTTGGAAATACAATACTTTAGTTTTGTGCAAAACGGTTTATATTAGTACAGTATATAAAAAATGAAGAGCAATATACACAAAATATCACAATACTGTACAACCACTTACACAAGTGGTTAATCTTAATGTACACTTACACAAGTGTGTTTTAAGATGTACAATACTAGATTTTCTACTTGGTTTTTTGTTTGTTTTTTAAGAATATGTACAGTAAACAGTATTGGACATTTAATAACTTATCATTTGTACTGCACTGTCTTCACTTTTCTGTCTTTAGTTTTGGAGTCGACTGGCTAAAGGCAAACTTTTTAAGTTTTTGTTTTAACCCCTGCAGTGCGCACCTGTTTTTGGCAAAACCTTCATAGTGCAATTGTTAAGGACATATTTTTGTGGTTTTTATAAATGTTGAGGTAAAGTTAATGTCAAAATGTTTCCAAACTCAACCATTTTCATTTCAAAACACAAAGAGTGATGACAACATTAAAAAACATTAAAATATAGCCCAATTGAAAAAAAAATAGCATAACTCTCAGAACAAGATTTCTGGGTTGGTGCAGCACAGTGGCTAATACAATTTCAAATAGGATATCATGCTCAGACGTTTATATCACTGTACAGTATTGGTACACACTTTACTTTAAGTCCGAGTTATGTTAAATACTAAAACACTAAAATCTAGGCCTTAACAATTCTGACAATACATGGAGCTTTCAAGCACATCTCGCTTTCAAAATATACAGGTAAAGAATATAAAAATGCTTATAACAACTTGAATGACGTACAGTAGCGACATTCAATAAGCACAGCATATTCAATGCAAAACATGAAAATAAAACAGAGAATGTATTCATTCTTTTGTACATAAAAAATAAGGTTGTCTATCAAATAATCTATGCTGGATAGAGTAATAAAGTACAGTATTGTACTTTAAAATCCATATTTTGCTTGTGTTTGCATTTTTGTCATACGGTTTTGGGCCCAATTATTTTTAAGTTCTAGCTCTCTCTCCTTTGCCTGATGGGCAAGGTATGTGATCTGATGCTTTTGTTTTTGTTTCTGTGATGGCATTCCATCTCTCTTCTTGCTGAAACTATGGGTTGGTTTCTCTTCAGTCAAGGCCTTTGTCATCCACTCATCACGTGTAAGCAAAGCATCATCAGCATTAACATCGATGAAGTTGATGGCCTCGCCCTTACCTCTTCGCTTACCAGCCAATCGAACCATTGCTTCTTCATCAATGCCAGCATTACTATCTGGATAAGTTTCTATGTGCTGTGATGGATAATGTGCCTCTGTCTCCTGAGACTGTGTTGATGAATACTGAGAAATGCTAGAATACACAGTAGTTTCTTGAGGTAAAATTTGGGGCGTTTTAAATGTCTGTAACACAGGCATATTTCTAATGTTAGGGTCTACATCTGGTACACTCAAAATTTCTGCTGGTGGGTTCTTTATATCAATGTCAGCAGTTTCTGATAGTGAAAAGAAATCAGAAGCAGCTGTATTGCTTTCATCATCAGAATCATTTTCACTAAGAACTGTGGTATTTTTTGGCTTAAATTTAGACTTTGGAGAGTTCTTCACTGGCACCGATTTTTTAGTGAGGATGTGAGGAACAAGACTACGTTTAGCTTCTTTGACGGTAATATGTTTGGGCTGAGGCAGCAGGGAGAAAAGTCCTGTACCTGATGAGGATGGTTTTATCTTCTTGTGTTCAGGCTCCTGGTGCTCATCATCCTCCTCATCATCTTCTGCAAACTAAAACACAAGCAATTAAGAGCCTTATATGCACATATAAAACATTATCAAATCTGGCACAAAATATACAGAGTTCAAAATAAAGTATAGCTACATACAAGTCAATCTTAGAGATATTCCTTTTACATTCCCCAAAAGAGTTGTAATTTTATGAAATGGATTTATAGGCGGCAAATCTGCACACACAGAAATAACACTACACGAGACCAGAAGGCACAATAGAATGTGCAAAATAGCCCCTCTAAAAAGCATAGGTATGAAAGATACATTAAGAGACAACTATCAACATCAAAAGCCTGAGACTTTTCAACACACTCCCTCTACAAACACAATGCATAACTGGCTGACCTCTTGCAGTGTGTTCAAAAGAGAACTTGATAAACACTTTCAAAGGATACCTGATCAACAAGGCTGTGACTCATATCAGGGTGCAAGCAGCTGTGTCAAACAGCCTGTCTGACCAGACCACCCACCAGGAGATCTGGTCAGAGACCGGGCTGCAAGGACATTGCTCCTTGGAATCATCAGAAGGTAAAGTAAGGAAGCATCAGAAGCATTATTCATGTTACATATATAAGACCGGCCACCCCTGCCTTACAAGCATTTGTTTTACGAACATTTGTCCATACAAAGCTTCACTCAAATCCCTGTTTCCCCCTTCATGCATAAAATCACTGTACAACCTTGCTGGAGCACGGTAGTATTAAGTGGCAGCGAGCTAAAACGTCTATGCGGCAGCCACATGGATGAGCATTGTACAAAAGTCAACATGGACCACCAGGGAAGGTGGGGTTATGGTCAAATCATACACAAGACTCTTCGACAACTTATTTTTCGATTTACAAATGACCCACTAGTGTCATACTGTAAGCCACACTGCCTCAGTCAGCATTACTGTGATCACTCTTATAATGAGCTAATCCTCTTTACTCTCACCATTCTAGTTGAGCAAGGTAAGTAATTAATTATCAAAAAGAAGGCACCAAACTGGGAAGGCTATGTAGCACCATCAAATGTGCGGGATAATCAGAGGACACTAAATATCACCAAGGATGCCAATACCAGAACGCATAAGGCGAACGATATCAAAAGTATCCGAGTCACCAAGAATACTATCGAGAGACAAGCGACTGCGGGGGAAGGTCGGAAAACAAGACACACGCTCGTCCCGGAAGTCAGGACATTCAACAAGGATATGCACGACCGTAAGAGGAACAATGCAATTAGGACAATAAGGAGCAGGGCGGCGCTCCATCAAGTGACCATGAGTTAAGCGAGTATGGCCAATACGCAACCTCGCCAGAGCCATTTCCCATCGCTGGTTACGGTGGTAAGAGGACGGCCATGAGGACACACAACTTTTAAGAGAACGTAGTTTGTTACCAGTAACAGACGACACAAGCCTGCCGAAGGGTAAGGACGGAGGAATGGATAACCGGGTAAAAGTCGGAATAAGGAATACCTTTACGAGAGATGGGACAAGAGCGGACAGCTTCCCTGGCGGCAGCATCCGCACGCTCATTTAAAGAGACACCAACATGGCTGGGAACCCAACAAAACTCAACCGACTTAAATTTACTGTGAATAAGAAACAGCCAATGCTGGATCTCGACAACCACTGGATGAACCGGATTAAAGGACCCGAGAGCCATGAGGGCACTACGAGAGTCAATAACAGCTACAAAGGAAGATTGACAACGAGAGAGCAGGAGACGAAGAGCATAAAGAATAGCATAAAGCTCCGCTGTGAAGATGTTAGTCTCCGGAGGTAAGCGACACATATAAGTGTGATCAGGAAAAACAACAGAGCAGCCAACACCGTCCTCAGACTTAGACCCATCAGTGAAGACAGAAACGGAGTGGGAGTGAGAAGAAAAGTGCTCAAGGAAAAGGCGTTTTAGAACCGTAGGAGGGGTAAAAGCTTTAGGGATGCGGGTCAAGGATGTACAAAACTGCGGAAGGGGACTCTCCATGGGGGCAAAGAAGGAACAACATGAGGAGAAATATTAGAAATACGAACGGAAAGAGAATCCTGTAAGCGAGATAACAGGACAGAAAGAGGGAAGTGGTGAAGAGGAACAGGAACTGCAGGAGGGGTAAAAGTTAAAGCACGACAGAGGCGAGAGGAAGGATGTTGCAAGGACTGTGCAAGATAGCGAAGACAGTAGCGATCACGGTGGTCCTGGAGAGATAAGGAGCCAATGTCAACATACAAGCTGAGGACGGGAGTCGAACGAAAGGCACCAGAACTGAGGCGCAACCCAGTATGGTGCAAAGCATCAAGACAGCGAAGAGTAGAAGGAGAAGCAGATGAGTAAGCAGGGCAACCATAATCGAGCTTAGACAGGACGAGAGAGGAATGTAAAGCAAGGAGAGTGCGCCTATCCACTTCCCAAGAAGTATGGGACAATACCTGAAGGAGGGCAAGGGCCTTAGAGCACTCAACACAGAGGTAAGAGATATGGAGAGACCAAGACAAAGGAGTGTCAAAGAATAACTCCAAAAGCTTTGCGGAATCTTTGTACTCAAGGGGATGACCATTAAGTGACAAAGAGGGACGAAGAACGACCCGTTTCTGAGTAAAAGTCATGGCACAAGTCTTAGTAGTAGAGAAGCTACTACTGAAGAAGTAGTAGTAGAAGCCATGATCGGTGGCCCAAGACGACACGGCATCAATCGCAAGTTGAAGCCGGCGTTGAAGGAGAGGCGAATCATCACCCTGACAGCAAAGGGTAAAATCGACATAGAGAGCAGAGAAGACGCCTGAAGAAAGAGAGGAAAGAAGACCATTGAGGACAACCAGAAAAATAGTAGTGCTCAGAACACTACCCTGGGGCACACCTTCATATTGCTGAAAAGAGGCAGAGAGAGAGCGGTACCAAGCCTCACCCAAAAGGAACGACGAGAGAGGAAGCTGCGGAGAAAGAGAGGGAGATGACCACGAAGGCCAAAAGAATGAAGTTGAGATAGAATATGATATCGCCAAGTGGTGTCATAAGCCTTTTCCAGGTCAAAAAAGACGGCAACAATGGAGGTCTTCTCAGCAAAAGCAGTACGAATATAGACCTCCAAGTTTACCAGGACATCTGTTGTGCTGCGGCACTTGCGGAAACCAAATTGAGAAGCGGAGAGGAGGTGATGGTGTTCCAGGAACCACATCAGACAAACGTTAACCATACGTTCAAAGAGTTTGCAGACACAACTTGTGAGGGCAATAGGGCGAAAGTCCTTAGGGGATGTTCCCAGAGACTCTGGTTTGCGAACAGAGAGGGCAATGGCATCAAGCCAGTCCTCAGGGACTGACGACGACTCCCAGATCCGATTATACAGACTCAGCAAATACTGAGACGTGCACGGAGGGAGATGGCGAAGCATCTCATAATGAATGCCATCGGAGCCCGCCACCGTAGAACCACAGAGGGCCAGGGCAGAACGAAGTTCAGAGAGAGAGAAGGGATCGTTATAGGGAAGTCGAAGACGAGTGCAGAAATCTAAAGGTCGAGATTCAAGAACAGGTTTACGAAGAAGGAATGATTGGGGAAGATGAAGACCAGAGCTAACAAAAGAAAAGTGGGAACCCAGTTTGGTAGCGACCTGCAACGGGTCCGCCACAAGAGTACCACGGAGGTGAAGGACCAGTGAAACATCGGGAACGAACTTACCCGCTATCTTGCGGATACGCTTCCAGATCTGGGGCAGAGGAGTTTCGGACGTAATGGTGGAGACATAAGATGCCCAACATTCACGTTTAGCCGTATGGATGGCCCTACGGGCCACCGCACTCGCCTTCCGAAAGAAAAGAAAAGAATCGACCAACGGCGGTGTCTCTTCCAGGCTGCATGCTTACAGCGGACAGCACGAGCACAGTCTGCATTCCACCAGGGAACGCACTTCTGTGGACCCCGAGAGGAAGAGAGAGGAATAGAGAGGAATAGAGCGGAGGGCAGCGTCGAAGACAGTGTCATGAAAAAGGAGGAGAGAGAGCGAGGGAGAGGCAGAAGGGAGAGGTCAGAGAGAGCAGCACTGAGGGTAAATAGGTTCCAATCCACTTTAGCAAACTGCCACCTAGGGAGGGAGATGGGAGGGTGAAGAGAGAAAAAGGTAACATGGATGGGGAAATGGTCACTGCCATGGAGGTCATCAAGAACCTGCCATGTGAAATCTAAGTAAAGAGAAGACGAGCAAAAAGAAAGATCAAGACAGGAAAGGGTGTGAGTCTGAGAGTCCAAATGCATGGGCTCACCAGAATTCAGAAGAGACAGGGAAGAAGAGAGTATAAACGGCTCAAGAAGGCGACCTCGGGTGTTTGTCAGAACGTCACCCCAAAGGGAATGACGACAAATGAAATCACCCAGCAGGAGCACAGGCTCCAGCAAGGAGTCCAGGAGGCGTTTCAGATCAGGAAGAGAAAACAGGACACTCGGGGGGAGATAAATGGAACAAATGGTGTACCATTTCCCCACAAAGATACGAGCAGCAGAACAATGGAGAGGGGAAGGAAAAAGTAAGGGGACAAAGGGAACATCAGAGCGAATCAAGAGAGCAGAAGAGTTAGGAGCCCCAGCAATAGCTGGGGGGAGAGAAAGGAATAGCCACGAAAGCGACCAGGACGAGCACCAAGCATCGGCTCCTGGAGATAGACACAAAGGGGCGAAAACTGTATAATCAGAAGTTGGAGTTCAAGGAAATTGGCGTAATAACCCTGAACGTTCCATTGAAGAATAGACATCGACGAGAAGAGAAAGGACAACAACAGAGAAGATGGAAGAAACAAAGGCGAAAGAGCATGTTAAAGAAGATCAGGGTCAGCAAAGTCAGGGTTAGGGGGTATGGGTAAACTGAGCAAACAACCGAGAGGAGCAGTCAAGGACAACAGCAGAAAGAGGGGGAGCGCACCTCAGCAAGGGCAGCAACCGAGAGGGAAGCGAGGGCCAAAGAAACCTCCATAGCAGGAACAGGGGCGCAACCACCGAAATAAAAAAAATAAAAAATAAAATGTT